AATCGTTGAGCAGTGAGACCGGACGAAAGGTTGGGAGGGGACGGGAAGAGGTAGGGGCCTGTACAGGTAGATAATGTTGAGAAGAAGACTTTTAAAAGAGCAGCTATATCCCATTGTTCCAAGGAATAAAGCAAGGTGAAAGGAAGCTATACTAGGACAACTTTATAGCCACTGTAGGTCTTTTATGGTCTACAGAGTGCTTAAATTATTGTTGATCCTTTAGGGTTTAAAAAAAATTAAACTCTTGCTTTCTAATTATATGCAAATTATCACATTGTGTATTTACCATGCCAGTTTTATTGTGGCGCTGTGCGTACATTCTAATGCAAACGAGATTGTAACACAGGAATAGAAGAAAATCGTAGAGTCATTGTGAGCCCATTGTGATCTAAGCAGCAGACAAGACCGCTTAAAACCTTGACTGGAGCCTCTGTCTGTCATGATTTTTCTGTTCCTCGCAAAGACCCGTGTGTTATTTGTTCCAAGTTTGGGTGACTTGACAAGGCTTCCTGGGGCTGGGGTTGTCGCCGAGTGGCCTACTGGGCGTGCCTACGGCCCTTCACGGTGACTTTTTCGAGCTATTTTCGAGTTACCCAAAGCCCGAATCTCGATAATCTTGTCATTATCTATCTAATAAACTCTTTCTTTTTTAAATGCCTGCGACTATTGAGACTAATATTTTCCCAAACTGTAGGCTAGATAGTGATTTTTCAACAGCTGCTTCCTCAGTGTTGAATCCCCCTTCCCCCAAACCGCATATTATTATATAAAAGAGAGACGCATGTGTTTACTACATTTAATACAGGTCTTAAGATACATCCATTCAAATCCTATTCAGCTGGGTAGTTTGATTCTTCTTTTAACAACAATTATGATCAGTAGCCACAGTGATTGTCTTTCAGAGTATATGTTTTCTTTTGTCAGATTGTGGGAGCATATAATACTAGAACAGACTGTTGTAAACTGAACGGATGAAACACATAGCCTAAGAAAATAGAGTAAGTTGTCATTTTTTTAAAATTATTATTTTATTGTGAAGCACCTAGAGCCACCAGATAGTGAATGCTATTATCTATTATTATTATTATTATTATTGTGCGTATTTTGGAATCATCCTGGTACTGGTTGGAATCCCTTACAGAGAGCTCTTGGACTTTGGTTGCTTGCGGAGTTTTCAGACTCTCTACTTATTTAGTTTGGTCTATCGGGTTGGGGGTGGGGGGGACATTAATACCAAAAACAAAATTATTCTTACTTCTTTTTAGCTATTAATGCAGGGTCACTGTCACTGATTCTATAAATTCACAAGGATCGCAGGGGCGCTGTATGACAGAGAGCCTCATCAGGTGCCTCCACTTTTCATGCTTTTTTGATAGCGCTTGAGTTTGGGAGAAGGATTTCCCTGTCCACTCCGCAATGTTGTCGGTCCACCTCTTCCTTTGCTTTCTTCTCCTTCTCCTCTCCTGCACAGTTCCCTAAAGAATGGTATTGGATAGGCCACACGATCCTATTACATGGCATACTATTTCAGTTTTCTTCGCTTCATTGTAGACAGCAAGTCTAAATAGTGGCTCATGTGTTGTTTCACTCTACTGCGCACTTCCTCATTTGTGATGTGGTCAGTGTATGAGATGCCAAAGATTCTTCTAAAGCATCACATTTCGGCTGCTTGGATCTTCCTCTGAAGCTCTGCCGTCAATGCAGGGTATACACTGCTAAAAGTGCCTGAACTGAATACTGACAGCACATATGCAAAAAACAGATTCTTATAAACATTCTTACGCCATGATCTGAGAGACATCTTTCGGGTTTTACGATAGCATTATATTACTACATGTATCTTATAATTTTGCCCCTTCACAGGCATACTATTTAGGCCATCGGTCTCCTCTAAGCCTTACCAACAGTATCTCTGTATTTAAAAAAGGACCCCTCCTTATGTAAACACAATTTCATTATGTTTTCCCAATCTGTTGTCAAAATCTCTCACACTCCATGAGAGAGTATAATTCAAATCATGAACAAAGTCCATAAACAAACGATATAAGTGCACTATCACGAATATAAAGTTAGAAACAAGAGAGCATTAGTTCTTACTTTTACAGATTTTGAAAAATTCTTGCACAAAATACCAATAACCCAACACAAAAAATCAAATGTTTAAAAGTTTATTATTAGTATATGGGTCATGTAAAAATGTTCATTGCATTTACAAAATGTTGGTCCTGATGAGTGAAGGAAAAAAACACTTCATTACTTCAGCTGCACTTAACATTCCCTGTGTTCTGTGAGAATTAATGTTCTTTCTCTGGTATGTTCTACCACAGGACAAGATATGATACCCCCTACACTAGGCTTGAGCACTAGTTAAATTCTAAGAGTACAGACATGCAGAACCATCAAGCTTCACACCACAAAAAGGCAGTAGAAATTCGTGAGAGGGATGAAGGGTGGAGTGGAATTTTCAAGAGTATATAACAGGATGAACAGAACAGTCGTCAAAGAGAAGTTGCAACTTGTGGTAGAAGTATTGAACAATCAACAAATTATGTTAATTCCATTCAAAATGAACTGATTCATCTCCTTTTTAATAGCTATTCTATCGGCACGCAAAAACCAAGGGAGCAAACAAATCGTTTTATATTGTTATCTCAGTTTCATGGATGATGTCCCCTGTTCCATATACATGTATTATTATAATGAAAGGGTTCTTTCATTAGTGTGTATGGGGCGGAGGGTCTTGAAAAGATGAACAACGGCACATTCATAATATATGCTAAAAGTAACTCATCCTTTGTCCAAATTCTGTACGTTCTACTTCTTAAAAAAATAATAATTCCGTACTTCATTGTTTTTCTCTGTATACTTGCACACACCTTATTTCGCAGTCGACACCCCC